CCCAGCCGAACTTGCGTGGGTTCCCTCCAGCCCCAACACCACCAGCGCACGGCTGCCGTCATAGAGGATGGAAAGGAAGCCCGACAGCCCGGCCTCTGCGGCCCGCACTCCGGGAGCCACAGTGCGCCAGTCTCTGCCCCCTCCAACCCTCACGTGCTCCCCATCACACCCTCACTCCGAGGCCTCCCCCGCCTGACCTCACCTGGGCCTCTGCCCCAGCTCTGGTGGCTCATGAAGAACAGCGATTCAGGGACCCAATGCAACCTTTAATTCCAAGCAGAGTCCCCTTCCCCAGCATTGTCACACACACACGGAAAGGGGTGCCAGAGTCTAGGCAGGAACAAAACCCAGATGGGGCAAAAAAATATATATAATTATATACACGTGTGTTTGGAGACGGAAAGCTGGAGTGTGAGGAAGGTGGGAGTTGGTGAGGAGAGCAGCTGGGGTGCCCCAATAAATTACATTCTTTAGAGAGTGTAGTGGGGGTGCGCGGGGTGGGTGGGACCTGGGAGCCAGGCACTCAGAAGTGCCCCAGCCTGGCCTCGGGATCCCCCAAGGGAGGCTGTAGGCCTGGGCCCTGCCGGCTTCCCAGGCTGCCCTGGAAGGCAGATGCTGCCTTAGCCTGGAGGCCGGGGTGAGCCCGGGCTGTGGACACGCCGCACCCGCTCTGAACCAAGGCTTCCGGGAGCCTCGGGGGCTGAAGCAGGAGGCTTCAAAGCTTGGAGTCGCAAGTAAAGATGGCAAGCTGGAGGGCAGGGCCCCGCCTCCCCCTGGGCCAGCTGCCCTGCCACTGGGAGAAGCGGCCTAGCTGAGGGAGGCTGCCGAGTGAGCAGGGAGGCAGTGGTGCGGGGGTCCTGGTGGCGCCCACCCACTGGGCAGCCCAGGCCTGGTCACAAAACCCCTTCCTTCCTCCTCACCCCTCTGGGACTCCCATGTGGGGTGAGCGTGCAGACAGGAGCTCTGCATGCCGGATGTGGCCTGGGTCTGCTGGTGTGGGAGGCCCAGGGACTGAAGTACCTGGGGAAGGTTTTGGGTCCCCAGGCCCAGCGCCTCCCGGCCCTGCCTCCACCTGAGGAACGGAGCCCACCCACTCCTGCCCCGCCTCGCACTGCTCCCAGCCCACCAGGGAGAGGACGCTCTGGGCTCAGAGGCGGAGGCCGGGTTGGGAGCCCTGGGCGGCAGGGAGGCCAGTGATCAGAAGAGGGAGGCCTTCTTCTTGAGCTCATTGCGCTTCCACAGAGCCAGCTTGCCGAACTCCTCTGGAGACATGGCGAACACCCTGGAGAAGTCCTCGGCAGACAGATGTCTCTGCAAGGGGCCCAGCGAGGCAGCTTAGGGAAAGGGGCCAGGCAGGCGGCCCAGGGACAAAAGGACACTCAGGCAGAGGGCAGGGTGCGCCCCTCCCTGGAGCCGCTGTGCCTTCCCCTCGTACCTCGAGCCTCGTCCGGTCCACGCCTGGAGGCAGCCGGGCTCGTCCCTTGTTGGTCACCACCAGCATCTCATAGGGGTAGATCTGGGGGCAGGAGGGTGGTCTGAGGCCCAGGCTCTCCTGTCGGCAGAAGTCCTTCAACTCCCTAGGCCCCCTCAACCTGCAGAGGCTGCTGGGGTTCATGCCACCTTGCCGTCCACCCCCATGACCGGCTGTCCCTCCCATCACCGACTCCAGGAGGACCCCATGGCGTGCCCAGCTCACCTGGCCTCTCCCCAGCCACCCGCCCTGCTGTGGGGGGTCCCCTGCCCCTCACCTTCTGCTCCAGCACACAGGGCAGGGAGGTCCCCCGGTCCAGCCTCCCCCTCTGGCCCTCTCCGTTCTGGGGAGACCAAAGCCGCAGTGAGCCAGAGCGGGGCAGGGAGACCGTCCCGGCCTTACCCCAGCTTCTCGCTGCGCCTCCGTAAGCAGCTCCGTTGCCCACTCCCCACCCCCCCTTCCGTGGCCTGGCCCTGGCTCCTGGCTCCACCTGCTCTCTTCCAGGAGGGCTCACCTGCAGGCCTGCGGGAGAGAAGGGTCGAGCTCAGACGCAGCCCCCCACACACCTGGCACAGATACAGGCTGCCCAGGGCACCTGCACGAGCCCCTTCCCCAGCCCTCCCGGCACCAGGTGGGCCCACTGCTCACCTGGGCTTCCGGCTTCACTCCCCGATGGGCTGAACTCTGTGGACTGCAGCTAGGAAAGACATGAAGGGCTCAGAGGGAGCTGGGGAAGTCCCCACTGGGCCCCACCACCACGAGGGCTCTGCCCCTGAGGACGCCCAGTGGCCAGGCACTCCGAGCACCCCATGTGCACGCCTCTCCGTGCAGCCTGTCTCTGGCCCTGCGGCCTACCCGGCTCAGGGGG